GGGGGGGAGGGGTGTCCTCTTTTGCTTTGTGATCCACAAACTTGATTAACACGTTGCGGCGTGACCACTATGCGCCCCCATGTTAAATTATAGGCACCAAACATTAGCCGTAGGGAACGTGTTAAGATAGGGACGTGGTTGAGGGTTTATGAAAACCCACCCTCCCTAGCTAGATGCAGAGGAGCGCGCTCGCTGCCGTCCCGTGCCGACTGGTTTGCCTAACTCCCGGAGCGGGCGGGCGCGTACGTTGCAGGCCGAGATGACGACGCTGAGCGAGGAGCTGCGGGCCGTCGCGCTGGAGGAGCTGCGGGAGGACGACGAGACGCGGGAGCACGCGCTGGCCGCCATGCGGGAGTGGGTGGAGCAGAGCGCGTACATCATCCGCTGCCGGACAGGTCAGTACGAACACGGGCAATCAATCAAATTTCATTCAAAGTTTGTTCTAAGGAATTTTATTTTCTAATTTTTATTTTTAGAATTTTATTTTTATGAGTTTTTTTTTTAAAAAGTTTTCTTTTAGAGATTTAATTCATATTTTTTTCATGTTGCAGATGATAACTTTTTCCTGCGTTTTCTGAGGGCCAAGAAATTCTCCCTGCCACTTGCTCAAGAAGCCATGACCCGTTATTTGTTGCTGCGCCAGACCCTTCCCCCCTTCAGGAAGCTGGACTGTGAAAACCCAGTCGTGTCTGACCTCATCGACAAGGGGTAAGTCTGTACTCTATGGCATTACATTTTCCAAAAATTACTCCCCCCCCCCTCGAAAAAAATAAATGAAACAATTAAATATATTTTCTATGTGAAGGTATGTATTCCCGTGTCCACGACGAGATCATAAGGGTCGGCGCATTATCGTTTACCGTCCTGGAGTGTTTGACCCTCACAAGCAGACCAATGAGGATATGTGTCGAATACATGGAATGGTTGTGGAAGCTTTACTGGAGAATGAAGAGGACCAGGTAATATATTTGGTTTTACAAATGAGTCAGCTGGTTGGTAATTCCAGGAGAGTCTCCCTTTTTCATTTGTAAGTGATTTCCAGATTCGTGGTTTTGTGCACTTTGCGGATGGTGCTGGTGTCACTCTCCCCTTCCTCACACTCTTCACACCTAAGGAAGCTGTACGCATAGTAAAAAACGGGGAGGTAATGAAAAAAAGCTTGAGTGTTTAGTTGTTTATGAATTAATCTATTTCAATTTTAAAATTGTTTAATAAAAATTTTGCAGCGCACTGTACCTATGCGCCACAAAGAAGTTTATGGCTTCAATGTTCATCCCTCTCTGAAAATTGCTTTGGAATTTGGAATGTCCCTGATCTCAGAAAAAATCAAGAGCAGAGTTAAGGTAAGAAATTAAGAATTTGTTAGAATATAGTTAATCAGAAACCACTGAAACTCACTACTTCTTCTTTACAGGTTTTTACCTCCCTGGAAAACTGTTTGGAGCACATTGACAAAACACTTCTTCCTAAGGAATATGGTGGAGAAATGCCAATGGCCGAGATGATTGGTAAAGATGAGCAAGCTATAAGATATGCAATATGCCTTACACTTTTTCCAAGCACATTGCACGGATGAGTATGAACTGAAAACTAACTAAAATGCACTTTGTTTTAATTTTGCAGCCTTATGGAAAAAAGAATTGCTGGCCTCCAGAGCAAAAATTCTTGCACTTGATGAAATGGAAGTGAATCTAGAAATGTTTACTGAACAAGCCCGAGCTGGAGCTGTGTCTGCTCTTCGAACAGGAATGCTGTGCTCACAGCCTGGTCAAAATGAAGATATTAAGTCTCTGACAGGAAGTTTCAGAAAACTTGAAGTTGATTAGTACTGAGATTTTTCTTTTAGAAGACATTAAGAAAGTTTAGAAATCACATTGCTCGAATAAGCAATACCAATTTCAACTGTATAACTTGGAGCACTATTCACATTGCACTTGGATTTATATACAGACTCATGTACAAATAGAATTATTAACAAACTTTATCTCTGTAACCTGTAAATATTAGGGCTTACATTCTTCATGGTATGGTTCTAAAGTACGGAATTCTCGCCAAGTGGGGGGCATTGCGTTGCGTAGATGTAGGCCACATCCTTTGCAAGCATCACTAAATAGTGTGTTAAAACTGTGAAGCCAAGTCTGCAAAATAGAAATCAATTACATTTTTTGATCACTTTAGAACTAAGGGATTAAATGCTCCCAGGCTTAGATTCTTACCAAAAAGTTTTTCACAGAAACATCAGGCATAGTAGGCATGTAGAAGCGCATTACTGCTGCATGAGCATTTTCAGTTACTTTCCGAAAGACCTTAAAGCGGGATTCAGTCCATAAATCTAAGGACTCTGAAAAGCCTCTAACAATAATCCATTCAATTAGAAGTCCTTTAAAAGCAATTATAGCTTTCAGTACTCTTCCAACAGAGACCTGTAAAAAATTATAATGGGATATTGTTATCACAAATCAAAATGTCTTAATTGAAATGGAAATGCAAATAATTCTGAACTTACATGAAGAATTACATTGGATGCAAATGGCCGTTGGATATTGACATTCATTTCAGGAAGAAGTCTCTCTATTTGATTGATCACTTTATCTACATGTCTGTAAATAAGATCAAAATTAAAGAAATTAAAGATATTTCAAAACAAAATGTTGAATAATTGGTAAACCATATTAAAGCATACATACATGGGCAGAACATTATGGCTACTTGTTTGGATTTTTCTTCTTTTAGCCGAACTTGTATTGGTGTACGATCTGGTAAGGGAATTCTGTGACAACTGAGCGTGCGCCAGGCTGCAATACTCGTGCACCTAGAAAAATAGTTAAATAATAACGAGGGAAATTCTTTAAAAGTTATAACACGGTATGAATTTAAAAAGTAATAGGATGTGTACCTTATCAGTCCATTTATAGCTCTGAACAAGCTGACTATATAAAGCCTGCCGATCTTGGGCATATTCATGACTTAAGAAACCAGAATTTCCTAGGTTAAATGGATTGTGTGGAGGTTGAAGATTATTAATACTCTGTTCGACATCCCTAAAAAGAAAAAGAAAATATGAAAAATGTCACTAAAGTTAGTTTAGATATATTAAGAGAATAGGTTAGGGAGAGCTAACCTCAAATTATTGTTAACAACTGTCAGCAAATCTTGAAGTTCAAAGAGAAACTTTGTCTCTTTTCCTTCTTCACCATGATCTGAGCGTATGCCATTACCAAGAGCCTCAAATGCGACTCCGACATTAGATCTAAGTGTTCTTATACAGCTTAGAGCGGTCTGCAGCGGTTCCACAGACATCATTTTGTATTACGTTGACTACAATAATATCCAATTATATCGAATGATCAGTTACAACTCGCATTTAGTGGCACGCTAATAGAACATGGCACAAAGGCGTGTCAATGTAAAGTAACTAAAGAGAGTTTAAAAGTATAAAATAACAATTAGAAACAAACAAACGTCACAAAGTAGTACACACAACAAAAATATCAATGAAAAACAAAAGAACGCGCAGGGCAGATATATCCACCAGGTTAACCAACAGACCGACCGTGCACCCAAAAGACCGCTAAATTTAAACAAGGTCTTACCTAATTTTACCAGAAAAATATTTGATATGAAAAGGGTTAACTACGATTTAGCTGGTACTTGAACAAAGAGACTTACGTAAAAAAAAGTCGATTGTTTTTCGGTCTAGTTTAATAATATATAACAAAGTGATTTTTTGAGACTTAATTTACGTCCCTTTGTCAAATTAGCAGTGATTTAGGGAATTGTAGTTTCAGATAGTATTGACAAATAGTAGACCACCAACCGAAATGCATCTGCAAATACTGGAGTGAGATGTCCGGCCTATAAAGGGTGAGATTGTTTTTTTTTATCCTGCAGGAATCCTCGCTCTAGGATTTCTAGTGATTTCGGTTCCATAAGATGCATACAGTCAGAATTGTAAAATCCATCAACTCCGCCTTTTCTTTCACTGCATGAGGAAGCTCAGCAGGGTAAGTGGTTTAGTAGAGAGCCTGGTACGTAGGCATCCCAACGTGCAGCGTGGGCACTCCCTCCCCCCTCCTAAAGAGCCTGGCTGGCCTGGCCAGCGGTGTGCAGCTCTGCCGCCGGGGATGCAGGCCACCCATTCTGCACCAGACCGAAACAGGCATTGCATCGAAAATGAAGTTAGAGCTCTACGACTTGCTGATAACCAGTGACCAGTTAGCGTGACCTTAAGTCCGAGGATGTTTTCAGGTGCAGGATCAGGCTATATTATTGATTCTTTCTCATCAGTAGAAAAATAAAATAGATTGACAAGAGTACTGATGAGATCTCTTTTAATTTACTTAGTTTTCAATGGATGGACAAAATCGATGGACGCAGAGATGCAGAACACGCGAGTACAGAAATTGAAGAGGTAAAAGAGGGCCGTTCCGTTAAACATTTACGATTTGAAATAAATGAACAAAGTTTAATGATGGACTATTCTAAACAATATTGCGAGCGATGCCTCAAGACCGCTTGGGAAACCGACGACGGTCCATCATCATGGCTCTACGGGGCGGCCGGGCCACAGAAGTTTACCCACCGCAGTCTGCCCTCATCTCTCCTTCAGCATTTAATCTGCCGGCTCTCGGGCCGTGGAAATCAAGATGCCTCTAAAATAATAAAATTGGACAGAAATGGCGTTTACGGCGGCCGTTTGGCGGCTCATGTTCGTAAAAAAGCCGTAAAAAAGGCGCGCGGTGGAGGAAGGGAGAGGCGCGAATGCGAACGGTGGGCTATACACGGGGAGGGGAGGGGCGGGCGGAATGGGGGGGGGGGGGGTGCTAGCAGGCCCACCTGCGAAAGGATGTTGCGAAGGCTTTACGGAGGGGGTGGTGCGTCGTCCAGGCGAGCTCGTCGCATTGCAAAAGTACGTGAGTCTGTTCGAAAATGACGGTGCCGCTTCGAATCTCTCTCTCGGCAACCCCCATCAGGAGCAGGTCCCGGGCAGCACGTCCGGATTCGCGGTCCGCGAGGCGGGCGTCGACTCCAAGCCCGGTGCGCCCCTTCGCCAGCCGCCGGACCAAGTCCTGATATCCTCCCCTTCGCACCGACAGGTCGACCCCTGAAAACTAAAAGGTCGTACCTCGGAGCGGCTGCGTATAAGGACGTACCTCGGAGCGGTTGCGTATAGTGTCGGATCTCGCCAGCG